GCCCCATAACTACCACCCTGTAGCCACCACCCCACAGCCACCACCCCACAGCCACTGCCCCACAGCTATTACTCCATAACCACCACCCCATAGCCACCACCCCACATCTACCACCCCACAGCCACCGCCCCACAAGTGGGCCCCCCGGGGGTCCCGTGCCCCCCACGCTCACCTTTCCACGTAGGGGTTCCTCGTGGTGCCCAAGGAGTAAATGCTGCACAGGATGCGGTAACACGAGACCTGGACGTCGTCCACTGCGGGAGGGCAAAGACCCCAAAGTGGCCCAAAGTGGCCCAAAGTGGCCCCAAAGTGGCCCCAGGTCAGCCCCCGCAGCCCTGCAGTGCCACGTGCCTCAGGTGTCCCCTCCTGTCCCCAAAGTGTCCCCTCCTGCCCTTGGAACCCCAAGTGCCCCATGCTCCCCAAAATGTTCCCAGGTGTCTTCAAGCGTCCCCTTGTCCCCAAGTGTCCCTTCGTCCTCAGAATGTCCCCAATGTCCCCGTGTCCCCAATGTCCCAACGTCCCCATGCCCAAAGTCCCCATGTCCCCATTGTCCTTATGACCCCAATGACCCCACCATCCATCCCCACATCCCCATTGTCCCCATGTCCCCACAGTCCTCATGACCCCCACATCCCCACGTCCCCATGTCCAAAGTCCCCATGTCCCCAAGGTCCTCATGACCCCAATGACCCCAACATCCATCCCCACGTCCCCAACATCCCCACGTCCCCAACATCCCCACGTCCCCATGCCCCCAGCATCCTCATGACCCCAATGACCCCACCATCCATCCCCATGTCCCCAACATCCCCACATCCCCAACATCCCCAGGGTCCTCTTGACCCCAATGACCCCACCATCCATCCCCACGTCCCCAACATCCCCATGTCCCCAATGTCCCCATGTCCCCAACATCCCCACGTCCCCCACATCCCCACGGTCCTCATGACCCCAATGACTCCATCATCCATCCCCACGTCCCCAACATCCCCATGTCCCCAATGTCCCCACATCCCCAACATCCCCAC